GGTTCACCGCACCCTGCCCTCACCCCACCCGTCCCCGGAGGGGGCAGCATCCTAGGGGTCAGCGGTAGCTATGGAGCTATGTGAACACGCTGTTTGAAATGAGCATGGGGGTCACAGTCCTACCCCCTCTGCTTGAGCCAGCTGCCCCCCCATGTCCATCTGCCCAGGCGGCCAGGCCTCCCGCTTTAGCTGTGTGGGCCGGTGGAAGGTTTGTTGCTCCGGGGTGGGGCAGCAGGGACCAATGTTTAGGCCCCATTTTTCAGACTTCGGTGCCTACGGTTGGGCCCCCCAAAATCAAGGCAGCCCCTAGTAGGGACTAGAAGCTACTGACCTGAGGCCACCTGGGGGAGTGAGAGAGTCAGGCCCAGAGTCCCGAATTCCTCCCCCCTCCTGCACCCGGCCCAGCCCAGCCGGGGATGTTTAATCTCTGCCTGCGATCCGGCTGAGGGGCAGCAGGTGGGGGGAATATGAATGTAGGACCAGGAGACCCAGGGGGCTGGCAGGGTGCCAGGCGTGAGGGGCACTGGGCTGTGTTATTAACAAGCACCGGGAGCATGGAGCGCTGGGGGAAAATGTTTCAGGCCCCCCGGAGGTGGGTCCATTTCTCGCTCACCCCCCAGAGTGTTCTGGGCCTTGTCGAATGTCGTGGAACCTTCCAGACTTTCTGAGAATTACGTTTTCCGGCAGCCTCCCGGAACCGTGTCTGCCAGGCCCCCTGGGGGTATTCTCAGGATGGGGCATCGCCCGTCCCTCAGTGGGATGTGAGAGCAAAGGGACGTGAGAGTCCAGCTGCCATGTTGTGAACTTGGTTTTATTGTGCGACTGTGCTGGTCTGCGGGTGCTGGGGGCCTGCAGGGTTGGAAGGAGCCACTGATAAAGCAGGTGCCACTTCACAGCTTGGCAATGCCTGGGGCCAGGCTTTGGGTCGGACGCTCTGCACCAGTGCGCACGGGCACAGGCGAGAATAGCAACCTCTTGCAGTGCAGGACTAGGATCTCCCGCCGGCCCACCCCGCGCTGGGCGCACTCCCCTGGGTCTGCTGGGACAATTCGGTCCTTCTGCAACTGAAATAGTTTCTAGAGGCTTTGAGGAAACAGGGTTTTTATTTGCTGTCCTATGACCCAGAGCAACACAGCTGTACAGCTCCTCGTGCACAGGCTTTGAATGGTGCATGTGAGTGCGTCCAAGCTTCACTGGCCGTGTAAAAGCAAATCCAACGCGGAGGCCTGGTCTTTGAGCTGTGAGGGGAGGCGAGCCCAGGAGAGGGGCTGGGCGGGGAGGCTGAAGGGCGCCTAGCGACAGGGCAAGGAGAAGGGATTCCTTTCCCTGGCGAGGGGCAAGAAACAGGCCCGGCCCCCTCAGCAGATCAGTGCTCAGCGCTGCAGAGAGACGTCAGGCTCCAGGGGCCTCGCTGGGTCGTATCGTCCAGCCCCGGCGCTGAGGCAGGGCCAGTGAAACCGATCCCATCAGCCCTGAGCCCAGCCCGGTCTCACATCTCTCCAGTGACGGGGGTTCCACAGCCTCCCTGGGCCCCGTGTCGGTGTCAGCTACTCTGAGCGATGGAAAGGTTTTCCTAAGAGCTGCCCCAAAGCTCCCTGCACCATATTAACCCCTTGCTTCATGCCCTGCAGTCACTGGGCCAGGAGAACAATTGGAACATGCACAGGAACGGCCACGCTGGCTCAGAACAAAGGGCCACCTAGCCCGGTGTCCTCTAGTCTGACAGTGGCCAGTGTCAGGTACCCCAGAGGGAATGAACAGGACAGGGAATCAACAAATGATCCATCCCCTGCCATCCATTCACATCTTCTGGCAGAGACTGGAGACACCGTTCCTGCCCAACCTGGCAAATGGCCATTGATGGACCTAACCCCCATGAATGTATCTAGCTCTTTTTTGAACTCTGTTATATTCTTGGCTGTCACAACATCCTCTAGCAAGGAGTTCCACAAATCAACATCCTCTTGGTAAGAACCTTTACAACATGTGGAGACTTTTATCAGCACTCTCCCAGTGCCCCCCAGCCTTCTATGAAGAAGGACCCATGTAGTTCCATGCACCTGGACGTACAACAAAACATCCAAGGAGCTGAAAAAGTCTGTTTTGCAACTGGGAGTTAGAGTGGTAACGTCCATGTGTCGGTGCCGAGGGGCCCTCTTCTTGCAATGTGGAAGAGGCTTGCTGGTAAGTCAGATGGTTCAGGACTAGGCACCATTTAGCACCAATTCCCCTTCCGAGACAACACAAAGCTCACTTGTTCCCGCAGCTGTTTGGTTTTCATCCCGTAAACAACGGGGTTCAGCATGGGGGGGACGAGCATGTAGAAATTGGCCAGCAGGATGGTAATTTGTTTAGGGATGTTCTGACCAAAGCAGTGGCTTAGGCGAGTGAAAAAGGCTGGGATGTAAAATAAGAGGATGATACAGACGTGGGAGCCGCAGGTGCTGAGAGTTTTGCGCTGGACGTCTTTGGTGGGCAGCTTGAAGACAGCCCTGAGGATCAGCACATAAGAGACAGCGATAAACACAACGTCTAGTAAAACGGTTAAAATAGGCACTGCAAAGCTATACCAGATATTTGGGGTTATGTCTGCACAGGCCAGCCTGGCCAACGCGATGTGCTCACAGTAGGAGTGGGGGATGACGTTGCTGGCGCAGAAGGGCAGCCGATTGAGGAGAAAGACAAAAGGGACAATTTCACAAAAGCTTCTGACGACAATGGCCGTGGCTATTTTCCCGATCTTCTCATTGGTGAGGACAGTCGTGTACCTCAGGGGGTCGCAGATGGCGACGTACCGATCGAACCCCATGGCCAGCAGGACGCCTGACTCAGCAACAAACA